CAGCTGGTGATCTTCTGGTCTACCTGACTCGTAGATGGGCAGCGGCAGTAGAGTCCAAGGGGGAGGCTGTAGCCATTAGTTTCGACATTGCGAAGGCATTCGATCGGGTTTGGCACAAAGCGCTTCTTTCGGAGCTCCCTTCCTATGGGCTTCCTGAGAAATTGTGCAGTTGATTCATCTGTTTTCTTGCAGAACGGATCATCAAGGTCGTTTTAAATGGTGCTAGCTCCAGTTACAAGCCTATTAATGCTGGTGTTCCACAAGGCTGCGTGCTATCACCAACGCTGTTTCTTGTGCATATCAATTATATGTTGCAAACCTGCAACATTCATTACTATGCAGATGAGAGCACTGGTCATGCTCTGTACACCGGCCGTGCCAAAATTTCTTGGAAAAACGTCTCCTGGTACCGGAACAAACCTGTGTCTGAAGTCGAGTCTTTATTGAACAAAGTCTCGGACTGGGGGCGATTAAATCTTATCCAGTGTAACCCTCAGAAGACACAAGTTTGCGCATTAACTGATAAAAAAACCCTTTGTCGTATCTCCTCCGTTTCAAGGCACTCCCCTTGTTGCCTCAGCCAGTATCGGAAATGTAACTTTTATGTCAATTCACACGTATAAATGTCAACACAATCAGTCGTTTTCAATTTTCGTGTCAAGCGTCGCTGCATGCAAATTATTTAAAAAAATGTAAATTGTGCAATAACTACGTGTCGATAAAATGAAATTTAATTAAAGGAGACTGCTTATCTTACAACCTGAACCTGAACCAAAATGTGAATATTAGAAACAAAAATAAAGAAATATTGATTTTTCTAAAACATTAATCAAAAGTAAAATGTGTAAATTCACTCAGTCTGTCAACAAAGCGAATCGGGTTTCTAGTAGTGATAATACAACATAATTGAACAATCAAACGAGCTTACCTGTAAGCGAAGTTCGATTGAGATTATACCTTGTTGTCTCTCCGAAGACGATGGAAATAATACTATATGTTAGTATCGCTTCTTATCTCGGTGGCGTTACATAAGTTAAAAGTAACTTTAAAATTTCTGAACGCATCATCTAATTGCACCTCATTCGCGCCTCAATCTGTCAACTCATTTTAGTTTAAAGCATAAGTCTGATTCTATTTGGGACTGAGCCTGGTCTCATAGGGGATGGGTGCGTTCCATCGTCTTCGGAGAGACAACAAGGTATAATCTCAATCGAACTTCGCTTACAGGTAAGCTCGTTTGATTGTTTAATTATAGCTTTGTTGTCTCTCCTCGACGATGGAAATAATACTATATGTTAGATTTTCAAAGTCTCAGAACAGAATCAGACTTTAATTATAATTAAATTGTAACAATAAAGGTTAAGAATTTTTCTTATTAATAATTATTATAATTGCAATTAGTCATCAATATTAATATTTTTAACAGCATTAGCACAAATTGTGTCCTTATTGTTCAAAATAGGACGATTATAGAATCTAGCAAAACAAATTGAATTTTCAGTCCAACCAGCTGATTTTCTTATAATATCTATTGATACACTCGTATGGAATGCTGCTGAAGTAGAAGCATGCCTTGTGCTATGAGCAGAAAAAATGTTCACATCTATACCACTATCTTTTAAAATGTCTTTTATCCATCTGCTGATTGTACTTACTGATACCCCTCTATAGGGTTTCTTAAATGAAATAAATAAATTTTTTATGTTGCCTCTTATTTGTTCAGTTAACTTCAAATAATTAATCACTGCTCTAGCAGGACAAACATTAGGTTTTAAATCAAAAAAAGGTAATACAAGCAATGGCTGCTGTCTGTAGGGGCCTGATGTCTTTAACCATTTGGAGATTGTAATACAAATTTTGTCATTCTCTATTTTTATTTTGTCAATTTCCACTGATGCTAAGGTTTGTGCTCTTTGTCCTGTTGCTAGAGCAAACAGCATTGCTGTTTTCTTTGCTTGGAATTTTACATCCTTTGTATCCATCTGATGAAGCCCAAGGTAATGGAACACTTCTGATACATTCCAAGTGAATTGATATTTGGGATTATTTGGTCTCAACCTATAGAACCCTTTAAATAATCTTTTTATTTGATCATTTATTCCAACATGAGAACCTATCAATAACGACAAGGCTGATCTTATGGAGTTAAGGCTTCCATAAGACATACCTTCATCAAACTTTACTGTGAGATAAGTTATAATTTGTGAAATATTAGCAGTATTTGTACTAATAATGTTAGATGAACAGTATATAAGCCAGTCCCTGAGGTAAGGTAAGTACTGCCTAAGTGTATTTTCTGATACTGAATTCAACATAATGTTGGTGGCTTCCTCACCAATGCCTGTGCTTAAAAATTTCTGGCGGAGAGCAGACCTGCCATCAATGATAGGTTCTTGTGAAGAGAGTGCGGTGATCTGTAATTACACAGGGTAAGTAATTTTTTATTGGGTTGGGAAACAATAAAATCATTTACCAACAATTTTTTAAACAGTGGGAACCAGAGCTGCGTTGAGCAGTAAGGTACAACAACTATGCCTTCCGCCTTGTCTAAAATTATTTTTTCTAAAGTTTTTAATACTAGCGAAAATGGTGGAAAAGCACAGAAGAAAAGCTGGGACCAACATAATGTAAAAGCATCTACATTGATTGCAATAGGGTCTGGGTGCCACGACACATACTTTTTGCACTTAGCATTTGTTCGAGATGCAAACAAATCTATTTCAGGTGTACCGAAGGTTTGCACTATTTTCCTGTAATACATCTGCCCTAGCTCCCACTCAGTGTAGCCAATATTCTTCCTTGATTGAAAATCAGCAGTGACGTTATCTTTAGTGTTAATATATGATGCAAAAATCCAGAGGTTACTATCTTCACACCATTGCCAAATTTGCCTAGCAATATCATACAAGTGGGGGTATTGTATACCACCTAGCCTGTTTATATAAGCTATTGCAGTAGTATTATCTATTCGTAACAATATTTCAATATTTTTTAGATTCCTTGTAAAACTCTTTAGCCCGAAGAAAGCAGCTTTTAATTCTAAGGTATTGATATGTAATTTTGATTCTTGTTCTGTCCAGGGCCCACTAGCTGTCTGTCCAGCACATGAGGCACCCCAACCCGTGTTGGAAGCATCAGTGTGTATTTCTAAAACAAAATCACTCTTTCTTATTGGGCTTGTAGAATATTTAACTTTTTCAGCCCACCATTTCAAATCCTGTTTGCAATGGTTAGGTAGTGAAATTTGTGCCTCATAATTATTATTATATTTTAAAAGTGATAAGTATTTATGTCGCTCAAGTAGTTTTGTATATAACATACCATATTTAATTGCTGGACAAACAGATACTAGTGTTCCTAATACCTGAGCTAAAAATCTTATAGAAAATAATGGTTTCTTACTTAATTTTTTGATCAAGCGAAGGCAATTTTCTCTTTTTTCTCTTGTTATAGAAATAGACATGTTTTCTGTACTGAAAACTAGTCCTAAGAATTTGCACTGGTGTGAGGGGGTGAGACTACACTTATTAATATTGACTATAAATCCTAAATTAGTAAATAATTTTAGAGTTAACTGTATCTTTTCAACACATTCATTGTAATTACTACAAATAAGTATATAGTCATCTAAATATTGAACCAGGCGTAACCCATCTTCTCTTAACCTGCCATTGATTGGTTTTAAAATCCTTGTAAAAACATAGGTTTTTTTTATTTAAAAGAATAGGGTGACAAACGAGCACACAGTCCACTTGATGGTAAGTGGTTGCTGCGGCCCATAAACATCTACATCTATCCTCCATTAAAAATCAAAATGCAGACGTGTTGTCACCCGTGAGGACTGAGATGGAATGCCTCGTTTCCAGTAAAAAGGGTCTCCGGTTCTCTACACTCACCATACGAAATACAGCAGAATTGAGCTACTATTTCACGCTGGCATTCTGTGAGAGCGTGGTCCTTCCCCGGTCGAGCCGACCCATTCGTGCTACAACTATACTACTAATATAACTGCAGCATGGCTCTACCACGTGTAGGTGCTGTACAAAGGCCGAAGGGGAGTACATTAAACTGATAGAGTTTTTTGTTAAAATAAAAACGTAGGTATTTCCTATGATCTAACTTAATACTTATCATGTAATATGCATCCTTAATATCAATTGTTGCCAAATAATCATCTTTGTTAATTAATTTTAACACTGTACGATAGTCCTCTAATTTGAAATGATCCATTTTAACAAATTTATTGAGTTCCTTTAGATTTAAAATAATTCTAAAATCCCCGTTTGGTTTTCTAACTAAAAATATTGGTGAACAGAATTGGTCATGCACTGGTTCACAAGTCTCTATAGCCTGTATAGACAACAACTTATTAATTTCTATTTTTAATTGACTTAACTCAGTTAATGAAAAATTATTATTTAAGGAAAAATTATTTTGTATAGGTATGTGTTCAAATGGAACTGAATATAGGGGATATATAACCCAATTGAGTATGACAGGTTCATTAGTCAATCTTTGCCAATTATTTATATAATATTGCAGTCTTCCTACCTGTGGTGTAGGAACCTCTAATATCGTCGAGGAGGCAGTGGTTTTCTGTTGTTGTTGCTGCTGCTTGTTTTTGGGCTTGGTTACTCTCTTCCCCCCAGCCTGGTGCTCAACTGAGGAGGGCCCCGCCAGTTTAAAGTCTTTGTTGGCCCCTTAAGTCGCTCCTGTTTTTCTTTCAGATCTTTTCCATATCACTGTATAATTTTTGCATTCTTTATTCTTTCTGCTAACTTTGTTCCGAATAAGAACATATCTGAGTCACCCTTTAGAGTCTCTTTAAGGTTGTGATTAACTGCATTAGTAAGTAAAATTTTTCTATTATCTTCTGGTCTCAGATTGAAAATAATCACATAATAGTTTGGATGCATCATTTATGTTACGGATTATTTCTATTTTGTCTCCGTTCTTTAATATGGACTCTAAACCAGAGCCAATAGCAGTCAATACTGCAGCTATTTGTTTTTGTTTTTTTTTTTAATAATTGTATCCCTTTTCAGCATAGATGCTGAAATTGCTGAGATACATTCAAGGTTCAAAGTTGGTGCTATTAAACTTGGCACATTTTCGAATGGCATATATTTTTGCATAAGCTCTCTCTTGTCTTCCTTTTTTAGGCATTTGCTCAGAATGGTTGTCCATCTGTTTGGAATTTCAGAGTGAAGAGGTGGACCTTTTACCTGTTCTATGTTTATTTCACCCAGAACTGCTAATGCCTCAGCATCCAAATCCTGTACCTCTGGAACTTTATCAGGCTGATTTCCTGATTCGCTAGTAGAGGCCTGGCTATTTAGGTTTCCCAGAATCTGCAATTCCGATTGAGGTGATTCAGATTCCTCAGGTTTTTCTCTTTCTATTAAGATATCATTTTCCATTTCTTCTGGCCAAGATACCTCTGAATCGGATTCAGATGTCACTGTTAAGAAACAGAACACAAATTAACTTAATTTGTGTTCTGTAGTAATACATTCACAAGTAGTATATACATTCTTTATAAAAATTTAGGGGCCATGTCTAATATTAGACTTTATGTATGTTTTATGGTTCTAGGCTCTGCAGCCGAAGCAACCTGATATTGACTTTAGGGTGACCATGGGTTCTAGGCTCTGCAACTGTAGCAACCAATGGCATAATGTAAAATCTTTTTGTTTTTGTAGATCTAGGCTCTACAGCCGTAGCAACCACAATAGTTTGGTCCCATAAGATTATATATGGTCCTATTCTCTACAGCAATAGCTACCAATGAATTACACGCTTAAAAAAATTAATTTGGTTACTTCTTATAATGCAACCTGTTTAATAGACCAACTCAAATATATATTCTATAGATAGGTTCATATTTATTATTATATTACTTCCAACAATTCTATTTTATATGAGATGAGGTATAATATTGTTCAATGTATTAAACGGACTTCCTGCTCGGAGAGGTGAAAACACAATAAACAATAAAACAAAATGGCGTTGTAATGCGTTATTCGTCTTAATGGAAAACAGGTAGTGACAAGTTAGTATTTCGTCTCGGCTGATTTTGGGTAGGAAACCACGTTAATAATAATGATTGTATGTCTAGGTATTATTTGATAATGCTACGGGTTAACACAGTTTTATATTATGCAATAATAAGCTACTTACGGCCCTGCTATTTTGAAAGTTTTTAACTTTTTTCATAAGTTTTCTTATTTTCTTTTTTATCTTGTCGTCACTTCTATCTTTTTCACGTTTTCTTTTCATTTTAATAAGGAATTAAAGGAAAATACCCCAACTAAAATACTTAATTCGCTGCTGAATGTATTAATACGTAGTAACGCCGTCCGACATAAAAACCGAATGAGTTGACAGATTGAGGCGCGAATGAGGTGCGACTAGAGGATGCGTTCAGAAATTTTAAAGTTACTTTTAACTTATGTAACGCCACCGAGATAAGAAGCGATACTAACATATAGTATTATTTCCATCGTCGAGGAGAGACAACAAGGCTATAATTGCTTTTATGTTGTTCCCGGCGACACCAATGCTCGTAAAAAATAAGGTTGACAACCATTTTATTGTGTATTATAGTATTCTACGGCAGGCAGGTACTAAAAAGTGTAAGTGTAAACATCTTACATTTTTCGAACAAATTTTTAATAGGTTGAGAATTATATAGTTTTATAGAATTCAAAAAATCCTTTATTTTTTGTGCAATTTGGCTTTTCCTTTATGCGATAGTTTTTGTCCTATTTTTTTTTTGAATACGCTTTAATTTTAGTGATTCAAATTTACGTTCACATTTAATAGGATTACTTTTCACGTTTTTTCGGAAACTACGTCCATTCGAGACCAACAGCGTTATTTAATAGCAGGAGCGGGTTTTATTCGGTCCATTTGGACCTCACTGGACCAAAATGACTTTAATAAAATAAGTTAACTCTAGGGCTCTTTTATTTTAAAAGCAATTTTCCTATTTCGACTTGTCAATGTGTGTGTTTTTGAATGAATAGTGAAAAAGTGCAAATGCATTGTCACGTCTGAAGACTAAGATAATATGCCTCGTTACCAGTAAATAGGGGTTACGTCTCTCTTCATTCAGCATATGAAATTCAGACCAGAAACCCAAAATATATCAGTCATGGGTAAGTCAAAGCTCGTTTTCGTTTATTCAAAAGTTGTTGTCGTGATGTAGCATCAATTTGACGGCTTGGTGGCGCAGTAGTTGAGTGTTTGGTTTCAAAACTGCGTGGCTGGTTTTTAAATCTTGCACGGGACAAATTTTATTACGGCTTATACCTGCAACATGTATCGATTCCGTTTCTTAACGGTGCACACTCATCTGGGAAACTACTTACGAACCCAGAACTAGCGATAACGCTCACATCTCAGTGACTCCTTCAATTTATGGAAGATGTAGAACTTAGCAGTGAATTAAAGCCATAGCTGTGATCACAATAAATAATAGACCTGCATAGCTGCTCGCACACAAAAATACTTACAAATAATTATTCCTGATCTGGATGTTTATCCATTTGCTATTTGACAAAATGTGAAAATAAAGTAAATTTGCTCATAATCGTCTTTGTTGCATAAGGTTGCATGCATACTTATTATTACTAGCGAATTAAATATTATGAAAAGAAACAACGTTAGTAAAAATATATAGCTGTACATTTAATTGCTTGCATGAACAAAGAATCCTTGTAACATTTAATAAAAACTTTGTACAGCCGATCGTAGAACGATATTAATGTACCAGCATGAATATTTTTCGACTTGCAACTTGCGGCTTCATTGAACTATAAACTGACTGATAAAGTGTCTGTTTTCAATATAGGTCGAACAAGCATGAGATTTCTTTCGGCGAATTAAATATTATGAAAAGAAACAACGTTAGTAAAAATATATAGCTATACATTTAATTGCTTGCATGAACAAAGAATCCTTGTAACATTTAATAAAAACTTTGTACAGCCGATCGTAGAACGATATTAATGTACCAGCATGAATATTTTTCGACTTGCAACTTACGGCTTCATTGAACTATAAACTGACTGATAAAGTGTCTGTTTTCAATATAGGTCGAACAAGCATGAGATTTCTTTCGGTGAATTCGACTACGTGACAAAAACCTAAGCCACCCCCTCCCCCCACTTTTGTAACTGACCCTAGTATCTAACAACTAAATCTGTATGAATGGCTACATTAGTCTGCAGTGCACCCTATGTTATATATTTCGATCTAATCATTTTAATCATTATATATTTCGATTTCAAATTTAAGACATCCAGTATCATGGTATAGGTTTAACGTCATCTATAGAGATAACAATTCAAAAAAAATTGCAAAATAGACTCTAATTAGTTACATTTCTCCATGACACCACAATATTTTTACGAATAAGTTCATGGAATTATTTTTAAGGCATAGTAAGTAATCATATCAAAGTTTTCATAAGCCATTTTTTTAAATCCATAAGTTTTGTTATAAAAAGATATTATTTGGCACCAACGTAGTTTTTTTCCGAGCATGTGCTCAGCCTCAGTATAGCTACCTCATAATTTGTGTATTATGAAGTATTACATCACTTTCATTTTGACACCCGCTCAGTTGTCCGTGAGGTTCACTGACAAAGGAATAAGCTACGCCCCCAAAACTACGATTCATTATCTAGGTGTTCTCTTAAACAATGTTTGTGATTGAAATTTTACGATATGTTATGTTATTACTGAGGAAGTCTTTGCTGGCTGCGTCAATACTTACCATCAGGTGCATTAAGAACTATATTTTTGTGGTATTTTTATGTAGTGACCGCCCATTGAATTTTAACCTATTTAATAAGAAAAGTCACCAAAATCGGTTCATAACAAAACCATCACGTTACATGCGTTACATGGTAGGGCCGTGCTGCAGCTATATTACTGGTATAATTGTAGCACAAATGGATCGGCTCGACCAAGGAAGGACCACGCTTTCACAGAATATCAGCGTAAAATGGCAGCTTAATGCTACTGTGTTTCGTATGTTAAGTGTAAGGAAACAGGGACCTTTTTTTACTCGAAACGAGGCATCCATCTTAGTCTTCACGAGTGACAACCTATCTGCATTTTGATACGTAATCGAGGATAGATGTAGATGTCTATGGGTCACAGTAACCACTTAACATCACATGGGCTGTGTGCTAGTTTGTCACCTTTATTTTGTAAAAAAATACACTACCTCCATTACGCTTATTTCTTATAAAATACAATTGTTAAAATCTTCAAAAACGCGGTTGCGACTCAATCGACAGAAATAGTAGGCTATCATCGATCTACACATACACGATACACATATAAATTTGAAGTATCAGTCTGTCTGTTCTATTGTTGGAATGGCTGATAGTTGATCCGATTATAACTAAAATTCAAGAATAGTACCAAGAACAGTAACCAGGAGTGATCTAGGCTATATGTTATCCAAAAAGCATGAAGACTTTCTGTAAAATTGAAAAAAAATGAAATAAATAAACAGCGTGTCGAAGTATCTCAGGAGCTAAGCACTCGATAAGGTTGGATCCCCTCCTGCAACAATTAAATTGTTAATTGCAATTTTAAGTGCTGATTTACTACGTGCTCGGCGATGAAGGAAACATCGCAAGGAAACCTGCGTGTTTGAAAAAAATAATTCGAAGACATTTGAAGTACGCCAACAGGCATTAGGGTAGCGCGGCGGATATTTCCTTGCCCTAAAAATCTCTCAGGAATGAGAGGATGCCTGTACTCAGTAGTAGGACTTATATAGGCTGTAAAATTAATGGACACCACCCAGGCGGAAGCGGAGCTGGTCGCTAGTCTGAAATTATTTAATGCCTTTGTTGAATGCTAAACTACGCAATGCCTTTCATTAGTATTTACGTTCATTAAGCTCATTACATGCCTAACAGTTGTTTCCTTTGCATTAACAAACGAAATGTGTTTTTAGCGAAGCAATTGATTAATTTCGCTATCACGTTCTCCAATAGCGTTTACCTCGATTGCCTTCTTATTTGGACATAATTGGGACTGATCGCTGTTTTTATTAAGATAATCTTGCGTACGTTCCATGTATATGGGTTTAACGGGTTATTGTCACTTGAGAATGTCTCATAAGAGACGGTTTGATTAGATGTTTAGAGCTCATTGTTTCTTTCTGAGACGCCGCAAGCGACAACTTCAATTCAAAAAACGTGCACACTAGAATAATTTAATTTATTGTTGTACAACAAACCCGCAGCTCCGCAGCGATGCACCCTTGCTTAGCCACTGTGCTACTCAGTCATTATCAAAGCACTTTCATTTTGATATAAATATATACAGCACAGGAGAATTGATACAAGACCTAGTAACACCTGGAAACAATAAGAATTACAGTATACGTTCAA